TCGCCTGAATTCCTGGCCAGGTCTTTAGCATACTTTGTCACAAAAACCGCTCCGAACGAGTCTTGTCCAACCACATCCTGTTCCCCTAGATCACTCCATTTAAATTCTGGAAGGCCTTCAAAGCGAACTATTCGCTTCTTCTTCACCGTCAATGCCAAAGGCACTTTAAAATTTCCAGGAGACAACATGGCGTAGAAAGAGGTAAAACGAAGCACGTAATGGCTACAAATACTCGAATATTCCCGCCAAAATGCTGCGCAAAAAATGAGAATTTCTCTGTAGAACACTGTATAAATGGTGTGTAAATTCTCCTCAGCCTTCCCTATCCCGGATGCGGCAACCGGGGGTCTGTTTGATTTTTATTTTTTGAAAGGTAAACTGGATCGCAGGTTATAGATGAATGAGAATGAGCTACAAATTGTAGTAGCTGAACGGTGGTAACCGCAGTCTTTTTAAGAGCGACCGCCAAGAAAAATTGAGCAAATTCTCGATTTTTCTGCAAAAGTTTCACAAATGCTCTTTTAATTTAGAGAATAAGAAGAAATTCAGTTTGCAAGTTTAGAAGTAGAGTCAGACGGTTTCGGGGGAGGACTCCCGTATAAAGGGGACGGGGATATTTATCATTTCTCGTTTCGGAGTGCAAATTGCAGATTAATTTTGGGACGGATCGCTCAATCTTGGAGGACGTATGCTCGGGGAAAGCTCCAATAAAAAAGTGACGTAGACGCTCGTCGGAAAATTAAAATTTTAAAAACCTCTAGCGACCAGCGTGGGTCAGGAGACCATGACAGACCATTATCAGACCTTTAATGATTATTATTGGCCGAGATGTCATGTGCTTTTTTAAAAAAATAATTGCATTTTTATTTGTATAGGTAATACTGTACACGAAAAACATGACTACAACAGCAAATTTCGACAGCGCTCGTGTTTTTAGTTCATTTAACTGATTGGCTGAAACACACCTCTACCTTTGCCGAATTCAAACTTTTTAAGACCAACGCTTTCAAAATCATTAAGCTAAGGACTTGGAAATGTGCAAGGATATATTGATTTCACCAGCCTCTTAAAGTTAACTAGGTTTACAATAATCAGCAAACGTAAGGGTTTTCAGAATCATCCTCGATAGCGTTTTTAAAAGATTCCCCATTTTAAAGATCCCCGCTTTTAAAGATTCCCCCGGGGGGGGGGGGTACTCCCGCCAATTTTGGATAGGGGTTTGCCGCGAAGGTTCGTGAACCCTACCCCTATTTAAGGACTAAGAAAGCGAAAACGGATACCCTTTTTAAGGGCCAAAGCCGTAAAATGACACCCTATTCAAGGAAAAAACAAAATTATTAAAGGCATGAAAAGGAAAACTTTATTTCTCCTCTGTAACATTGGATGTATAGCATCAAGCATAAAATACCAGAATAAGCCTAGTTAAAAAAAAAAAAATGTTCGTTTAGGCGGGCGTTTTCACACTCCACTATTAGATAACACAATTAAGCTACCCTATCTAAGGAACACACCAGGGACACAGAAACAAAAGGGTAAAAAAAGATACCCTATTTAAGGACTGAGAACCTCAAAAACCATACCCTATTCCGCGGCACGTACCTATATAGCCCATATATGGGAGTACCCCCCCCCC